CCCTGTGCCACGTGCTCTAGGTGACCCTGCGTGTGCAGGGGTTGGACTAGACGATCCCTAGAGGTCCCTTCCAACCTTCACCATTCTGTGATTCTATGAAGGGCTGGGGACGCTCAGCCTGCGTGTGGATGCCCAGCGGTGCAGCAAGTCCCCAGCCACCAATTTGCCCCACGAGTCTGTCCCCCTTGTTGTCCCCCCATGAGTTTCCCCCCAGGTTGGCCCGGCCGCTCCGTGGGGATCCCTCCGGCTCCGCTCGGGGCGCCGGGACGGGTCCGCGGGGGCCGTGTGCCGGGTTCAAGCCCCGTTGAGCGGCCCCGCGTGCCTTGCAGCGACACGGACGTGCACACGGTGGCTTCGCTGCTCAAGCTCTACCTGCGGGAGCTGCCCGAGCCCGTCGTGCCCTGGGCGCAGTACGAGGATTTCCTGCTCTGCGGCCAAGCGCTGGACGCCCACGAGGGCCAGGTACGACAGGGAGCTCATGGGTCCCCTCCTGGGTGGAAAAGCGACCTCGGTTAAACACAGGCACGGGGAGCTGCACACGCGGCCGCTTTGGTGCGTCCCGAAGGCCCTTCTTGGAGTTTCGCTTCTTCAAACGAGTCCCGTTAGCCGGGCCGTGAGGGCTGATGCGCAGTCACGAGGCTTGAAACAGCACGAAAATAGAAAAGAGAGAAAAATCTCCCAAAGCCGGCGGTGTTTCCCAGCCTGACGACACGGCTCCATCTGCTTCGGCAGGTCTCAGGGCCAGAGAGGGGCCTCGTGCAGCTGAGCCCTTGCAGCAAATGTGACGAGCAGGGGAGGAAGGAAGTGCAACCCGGCACGGCGGCGCTCGCACCGGAGCCAGGAAGGGAGCGGGGGTCTGGGAGAGGGGCAGGGGAGGGGGGGTTTACCCAGAAGCTCCTGGATGTGGTCTGTGTGCACAGAAACACGAGCACGCTGCAAAGAACAAGGCAGGGGTTTTCCTTGGCAGCGTTTGTGCTGCGAACCCCCACGCTGAGCCCTACAAGCGCCGGTGCTTCGAGGGAAGGGGTTTGCTTGCCGCTGGTTTCGCTTCAGGATGCTTTGCGTTAGAAAGGCCATAAACATTTGTATGCAAGAAACGTATGCAAATACATCTGCGTGTACAGATGCAACTGCAGACACAAATATGTTTGTTACAAACACGTTACCTCTGGGACTATCGGCTCTTTTGCAAGGGCTGAGCCCGTGCTGTGCTGGATCAAAGCGTGGAAAACCTCATCCAGGTCCATGCTGGCTCTCCCAGAGAAATCTGGATTTCACCTCCAAGGCGAGGAGAGACCATGTTGGGATAGACTGCAACGGATAGGAGACAGTTTGCAGTTTGTATTGTGAATTCTTATTCCCAGAGCTATTTCTTAACTTGCATTTAGGGTCATCAAGAACTGCTGAAGCAGCTGTCCCTCCTTCCCCGAGACAACTACAACCTCCTCAGCTACATCTGCAGGTCAGTCCTTAGTGCATGGTGTAAATACCTCCTGTTTCCTGCTTGGAATAAAACTATCACCCCAAAGGCTGAGGTTGACTCTGGAGAGGGCTCTTACAAGCTCCTGTTTGGGAGCTGTTGTAAAGGGAGAGCCTCACCCCATGGGAGAGACACATTAAGGAGGTCTGAGCATAAAGGTCTGCTCCAAAGTCCCCAAAATCACTTGCAGGGCCGTGAGAACTAACACAAAATACAGAATTTTAAATTTAAGTCTTTTACAATGAAGCTCTTACAATGAAACCCCGCTTGGCCCTGGATGACGTGGGATTTTTTTCCACTCTTTTTTTCTTCTCTGACTTGGAATTTCTGCAGGTTTCTCCACGAAATCCAGCTGAACTCCAGCATCAACAAGATGAGCGTGGACAACCTGGCGACGGTGATCGGCGTGAATCTCATCAGGCCAAAGATAGGGGACCCTGCCGTTATCATGAGAGGTAACAGGAATGATTAGTGTAGGAGCACACGATGCACTGAAATACTCAGCTGCATCCAGTCTCAAAATGCAAAGTTGTCTGGGACAGACCCACGGGCACTGATATAGGAAGGAAGGTCAAGCCACAGGGAACCAGCTGGGCTATAAATGGGTCTATGGTAAAAATGCACTTGGAGCTGAGCTGTGGATTCCCTCCATTGGTCACTGCAAAATATTCAGGAAAATGGAGAGTTTTATTTCACCCAAAGCAGGGAGATGTGAAATTCTTCTTGAAGAAACAAGAGAAGCTCAAAGAAATAACTGCTTTAATGAGCCAAACAGCGTAATCCCTTGGGCAGGGGACAGATGTATCAGAACTAAGGGAAGAAACATTTTAAGGGCAAAGATTTCCCTTTTTGTGGGGTTAAGGCGTGATGATCCTGGCTGCTGAAGGTCGCTTCCGTACCAATGGTCCTGCGTGGGTTACATCCACGTCCTCCCCAGAGAGGGGTTTTCACACAACCACTGAGCTCTGCTCTGTTTTTAATGAAACATCTCCCGCATTTTTGGAAGGAAAAGGCCTGCGACCAGGTGCCTGGTTTAGAGGGATGACATAAATTCCTCCCCAGCTCTTTTGCTGATGATATTCATGGGATAACAGATACTCACAGCTTGCCTGTGGAGCCAAGGGGTAACATCTGTCCAGCTGTGCAGAGTCACAACTTGGTTGTTCTGGCGTGATACAGAAATCTCCCCCTTGGTTTAGTTCTGTGGTTGTGCTCCTGCCTTCCCCTGCGTTTCTGTCTGCTTCTGCCGCCCAGACACCAGAAAGACCGAGCAGAAAATGTCAAATCCTGCGTGTTCCAGGTACCCCTCAGATCCAGAAAGTGGTGACCGTGATGATAAGCGACCACGCGGAGCTCTTCCCCGCATCCAAAGATGGGTCGCTCTCCTCAGATGCAGAAAAACCCAACGAGTTCAAGAAAGCCCCTGTCCCGCGCAGCTCCGTGGGCTGGGACGCTGCCGAGGACCCGGCGGGGGCCAGGACGGACAGCTTGATCCTAAGGGAAACGGTAAGACCAGATCCTTGGAGAAACGGCCGCAGCAGAAAAATAACTGTAATAAATGGCTATTTATTATGGGAAGTAACAGCTCAGCAAGCCACTTAGAGCACTTGCTGTTAATAGGCTAAAGATCCGTAACTGCCACCCCTGGAATATCGATGGCAGGAAAATGAGTTCTTTCCTGTGGAAAATTTGCTCTTCTGGGAAAAAAAATCGAAGATTCTAAAGCTTTTTTAGCTGAGAGGCAGAATGGATGAAACCTTTTCAGTTCATGCTGGTGAAGTGGAAATGCTGAGGGCTTTTCTCAGAAGGAGCCTCTACAAAAAGCTCGTTTTAATAAGAAATACACTTCAAATTAAAGTCATTCTTATGAAAAACCATTGGCTATGAAAGGTAGAATGTCCAAATGTGACCTGTGTAAATGGGCTGTTTCTGTAGTTGCAGCCAGCCTAAAGTCATGGATCTGTTTTCCAGAGGGACGACCCGAATGCCAGCAGTGCTGCTGGGCCAGCTGCGGACTCAAGCGTGCCCGGAGAAGATAATGATGTGAAACCATCCAAAGACACCCTGGGAATGTGGAAAATGCAGTCTAGGAAAAGAACTCAGACCTTACCTAACAGGAAATCCTTCCTGACAGCCGCTTCTCAGGGGGAGAAAGGCAGGAATGACAAAAGCGACATATTTGCCAAGGACTTTTGGAAATCCTCCCCGGGAAGCAGCGTGCCCCCTGGGCTCCCCGATGGCCATAGGAGAACGTTGTCCCATGATCTGTTCAAGCTGCTGGACCTTCACCGGGCTACGGCTTCGGATAACGGATTCCTCCCCGGCCCCACGCAGCATCCCAAGGAAACGGGCGGCAGCTCGGACGAGCCTCGGGATTCCGGCCAGGAGAGCGAGGAGCTCCTGCACAGCACGATCCTGAGGCTGGAGAGAGAAATGGAGACGCAGAAAAATAAATACGAGGAGGAAATCGAAAGGTAACGGGCTGCTGAATGCTGCCTTCCGCAGGGCGTGAGGTCTGCAGCCCATGTTATCACAACACTAGCACTTCCCACAATTATTTACCAGTAATGATATATAAGGGCCATAGTATGGTTATATATAATGGTTATAGTGATGGCTAAGGTGCCATATATAATGGTTATAGTAATGGCTAAGGTTCCATTATAGTATTCCAGTGTACTGTCTAGAATTCAATGCTCACGTCCTATAGACTAATGGTGTCGTTGCTGATATTGTTACATTATAGCATTTTAATTCTGCAATATAGCATAATAATTCTGCAATATATGGTTATAGTTATTGCTATTAATTATATGGTCATAATTATTGCAATTACTACAATATTATATCATTGTACTAACCAGGGTTCAGTGGTACCTTTATTCCAGCATCGGATGGTTGTAGCTGTTGGGGTCACTCTAGTTTCAGGTATTGTTAAGGTGTTGTTATTCACTGCACAGACTGAGCTTGGTGCATTAGGTGACGTGGTCACTGAGGGTCAGGGGACAGAGATGTGGGTTCAGGCACTGCCACTCTTCTGCAGCAGACACCTCTGTGCTGCTGGGCATCTCCCAGGGTGGAGGAGATTATATTTATTTATAATTAATAATTTATTTATAATTATTTAGCTGCTTCCTGACAGGGAGGACTGACCTCCATCCAAGCGATGCCTTCCCAGCGCTCTTCCAGTTCCATCTTTTCACGCTCCTTTTCGTTTCTCTTTGCAGCCTTGAGAAGGAAAACTATGAAGTTTGGGCCAAAGTGGTGAGGCTGAACCAGGAGGTTGAGAGGGAGAAGAAGAAATCGGAGGAGCTGGAACAAAAGCTGAGGGACATGGAGCTCCTGCGGGAAGACATGGAGAGGAAAAACAAAATGCTGGAGGAGGAGATAAAGAATTTAAGCCAATCCAGGAGCAAAACTGATGCCAAAAACAACTAGGAGGAAACACCTGGATGAGTGCAGGCATTAAACGGAGCTGCATGGTTTAGTATCCGAGGGAATTGCGCAGCGGGATCAGAGCCAGGGACTTGTGCAGGCCACTGCCCTGTTACAGCCAGCGGGCTGGTTCGGAGGAAGGAGCCCAGAAGTTAGAGGTTGGTTTACACTCTGAAACAGGAAATTTCAAAACTGTTGTTTAGCTTTATTTCACTTTTTAAATCCTCCTCTGGCTGCTGAAGTTACCTGTCGAACAGGCCAACACTTCTTGCTGCTCAACCAGAATGTCTTGCAGTAGGAGTTTACGTTAAATATATATCATACATACACATATATTTCTGTATATATCATATACAGAAATAGAGGAGCAAGTGGCCTTGCTGTCATTTGGCTGTCTCCTTGCTGAAGACATCCTAGAGCTCTGACCCTAAATCCTGCGGCTGGGGAGTCAGAAAATCGCCGGGCCCGGGTGACACTGCAGGACACGCTCTGCAATGAGCTCCAGGTGTTGGCATCAACACCCTGCAATGAGCTCCAGGTGTTGGAATTAACACCCTGCAACGAGCTCCAGGTTTTGGCATTAACACCCAGGCTTCCTTAAGGCTCTGATGGAGCAAGGAGGACCCAACAGGCTTCCTGATCCACCAGCAGAGACCCAACGCGACGGTGCTCACTGGGATGTGCTGGACCCACCGATACGACGGCTCTAGGTACTGATGGTTTGAGCAGACCCATAAACCAGGAGAACGCGTTCAGATGAGTTACTGCTCAGTCACTTTTGATCCCTGTTTCCTATAGCCCTGCGTTACGTACGTCCAGCCCAGCTGCTGCTGGAGCCTTGGAGCGCCGCTTCCAAGCATTTATACACGAGCTGCTCATCCAAAGCTAGTCCTTTAGGAGCTTTACTCGCTACAGGAAAAATGGGCTTCTCCCACCTTCCCTGGGAGACGGTTTTCGCTGACCTTTTTTACAATCCCCCTTTTGTTTTTCACCATTTTGTCCACGGAGGTCAGGATTCCCTTGCTCAGCTCTGAGGATACCTGGGATTTGCACCCTGGGATTTGCATTTGTGATGCTGGGGCTCTGTCCATGAGGCCTAAGGACAAACCGGACTCAACGGCCTCGTGTTACCACTTTGGTGTTTGGAAACGCGTCGCTCCGGCTGTTGTTCTCCTGTCAGTGGACTGGTGGCATTAACGCAGTGACACCGGATTGCTGTGACTGAGGACGCGGCTTTGGCAACGCGCGGGGGGAAAAGGGCATGAGAAGAAAAACGACACGAAGGAAAATATATGAAAACAGGGAGATTGAACTGGGAAAATGTGAATATGGAATAAAAGTCGGTATCATCACGATAGCACCTGCTGGGCACTAGGATAGCTCTAAAATGGAGCCAGGACCCCTCAGTGCCGGCCTCCTTGGTCTCAGTCACCCTCATTTTGGCATCTTGAATCCGTTTTGCTCGGTACAGGCAAAGGACAGGACTGTCAAGGTTGAGGCACGTTTCAGAATCCCATAAATTGCTCATCCCACCTATAAGCTCTGGTTGCAGATCACTTCCCTGGGACCCCGGGGACCGCACAGCTCCCCTGCGAGCAGCCGGGTCTTTAGACCCTGCAATGTGTAACCTTGAGACCAAGCGTCAGGGTGTTTTGTTTTATTTAATGTTTCACCTTTCCAGAGAGCCTGTTAGGAAGCTGCCCATCCTTCCCGGCGCGGAAGCCTGTGAGGATGTTCAGGAGACCCGTGTCCATCGGAGCCGCGCATCATGGGAACATGACCACGTGGGCTGGAAGTGCCATGCGCTCCCCTCTGTTAACATCAGAGTGTGAAGAGCCAAATAATCCCCACACCGGAGCATCTTCCCAGCACACACACAGGCCCGTGAGGATGTCCGGGAGACCCTGCGAGGCTCAGGAGCCGCCGGGACGGGGACAAGCGCATGTTGCTCGAGGATAAACCGCACGTTCCCCCTTTGCAGATCGGCTGCAGGAGCCTCTCTCAAGCCACGGCTGCTTCGCAGTGGCAGAGAAGCTGCTTTGAAGATATTCCGCCCATTAAAATGGGAAGTGTTTACAGTGCTCCTATTTACAAGATAGGCTTTCCGAGGGGGTCAGGTGGTCTGGAAATTCCTGCATCTAAACTATGCATAATGCAGTGAAAAGAGGAGTTTTCTAGGCTATAATTCCTGCTCTTACTATTCAGCAAGCTTTGCACCAGAACTCATTTGTCACTCTCAGATATTCGCTTTGCTGTATCCAGGTTTTGGTAGGTGTGAGAGGCAAGAAAACAAAATTATCCTTCCCACGTTATTCTCTTTGGATCCCGAGCCAGTCACACTTACACTGACTTTTCCCCTCATATTTTATCAAAGCTGCATTTTTGGCATGGGAGTGACTTTCTTTTTTTAGCTTGGCTATTGCATAAAATAGCAAGTTGTTGTGGGAGGCGAGGTGGACGTGCGGGAAAAGCGGCCAGCCGCTACTTAGGATAATTCATGCAAATGAGGGAAAACCAGCAAGAACACGTTGTTCTTCCCCAGAATGACTGAACACGCAGTTCCTCCTTCCCTTACCCAGGAGCTGAAAGTTTACCCCCAAAACAGGCTGTCTTTGGTGAGGAAAGACTGCCGATTTTGGGTTACTTGTACAAATAACCATTTGCCAGTAGGCTTGGCAATAGGTTACGCTTTTCTTAAATTAAGGTATCAGCTTGGCACCTGTTTTTGAGGACAGGGAAGGCTCCTTTTTCCTTTCCCCATCATTTTCCCATTTCCCTTCTCACTTTGCCAACAAGTGGCCAGGGAGTGCTCAGGTTTCCATCCCTTTGGTGACCCCCTCTCCCTGCACGTCCCTTCCCGGAGCCATGGGATGCATTTCCACGTCTACCCTTCTCTTTCCATGCGGGTGCGTTCCTGATGCCTCCCACAACCCTGTCCATGCTCGGAAATGCGGGATTCTTGGGAATACGGAGCACCTCGTCACTATCTCCTTGGCCTCGCTGTCCCCATTGAGTGACTCTGTGCGTGCCCTCCATCCATGGGAATTGGTGGCCTTGGATCTGCTCCTGACTCCTGTTGGTGCAGGAAAGCCCGGGGGCCGCAGGGTGTTTATTTGCGTTGTTCCCTACAGTCACTCGGGGCTGTTATCACTGAGGTCAGCAACACCCTCGCAGGCACTTGGGACCCAGCGGGACTGGATCATTCCCGTCCTGGGCAATCGGGAGACTCTGCAGGGTCAGCGATGGCACCAGAAGTTACGGAAAAGCGCTCGGAGATTAAATTGCTGTCATCCGCCCCGAACCGTTGCTGCTCGCTCAAACACGAGACCTCCCAGCTTTGTATCTCGCATCCTGGCAGCAGGATGCTTTTAAAAATAAACCCCTCGTGGGGCCATTCCTGCGTTTTTTTGAGGTGGCCACAGGCAATGCGGCCATCCCACCCAACCCAAATGGATCAGGAGTTCTGCCCCAAAGGACATCAAACCACGAGGCCACGGATTTCACCTCCAAAACTCACTAGAAAACTAATGAGGCCTTTTGGAAGCGCTTGCAGAACACGTATAAAACTGACCCAGAAAGGGACGGAGGAGACCTGAGCACCAACCTGGGAATATTTGGGCTAACGCCTAGGTAGCCAGGCTAGCCAGATGACCCTTTCTTTGATGCTAGACCGCTGTTTTTTCAGTCTAGAAGTGTTGATAACAGAGGTGTCGATGGGGAAGAGGTTGGTCTTCCCCCGAATGCTCTTGCATTTGCTCTTGTAAAGACCTAAACGCTGCAGAATGGGTGGGCCAAGAGAAGCCAAGGGCAGGTACAAAGAGGCGGCTCTGTTGCCCGCTGCCGTTTGGGACCTCCTAAACGATCCTGCCCGGCCTCCAGCCTTGGTTCCGGAGGGGCAGACACCGCTGGGCTCATCCAGTGCCCAGGGCACCTCAGTTCTGCTCCGGATTTTGCTGCGGCGACGCCTTCGGAAGGGCCGGAGGGAAAAGCCCGCTCTGGAAGCATGAGACACGCAGGCAACGTTCCGGGTCTGAACTTGCAATAGGCGTGAGGCATTGATCTGCAAAGGATGAGGAAGGACGAGGAAGGGAGGAAGGGCGAGTTCAGCAAGGAGAACAGAACTCTCCCAAGTGCCTGGAATGCAGGGATCTCCCCCAGGGATGATAAAGGTGTAAATTAAACAAGGAAGGGCGTCTTGGAGATGCTCGTGCCTGAAAAGGCCCTTGGATGATCCCGCCGCGCACCAGAACGGCCACTGTGTTATTATAGCTGAGATTCCCAGGAGAGGATCTGTTGGATCCCACTATCATTTGATCGGGCTTGGGAATCTCTGTGCGGATTGCGGATTTGCTGCAGGGCCCAGCACCGTCTGCTCGCTGATAAAAGCCAGCAGAGCAAACCTGCTGCTGCAGGGGCTGCTGCATGTCCATTACTGCGGGGGCTGCTGCACATCTGCTGCTGCAAGGGCTGCTGCACATCCATTACTGCAGGGGCTGCTGTGCATGTGCTGCTGCAGGGGCTGCTGCACATCCATTACTGCAGCGGCTGCTTTCGCTTTCCCACTGCCGGCGCTTCCTATTTTGACCGCCCCATTAGCCGGCGGGGACAGCTCCGGTGTTGTTTAGCGGCTGTTGCTAGCGAGCTGCTGTGCCGGGCTGCAGAGACCACCCCGCGTTTAAACCCTCGCACTTAACTCGACACGTCCCTTGTCAACGCGGCCTGGACAGGCTCAGGCGCGCGGGGCCGCCGGGCGCTGCTGGGGATGCTCATCCCGCTCATCCCGCTCATCCCGCTCATCCCGCGGGAGCCGGCTCATCCGAGCGCTCCGAAGCGCCCTGGAATCGCGGCCGTGCTCGTTTAAACCGCGTGGTGCTGCCGCCCTGGGCTGCATATTGGGCCGCTGCAGCAAACATCATCCTTGGGGAAAGAAAAAGGAAAGCGGCTCCTCCCAAAACATTGCTCTGTGTCACGGAAATCCATTCCTCTCATACCGTTTCCTTTATTGCAGCCGTGCTGATGGCTTTTATCCTCTGCATTTCCTCTGTTTACTTAAAAAAAATGCAATCAGCGGGAGGCTGATCGATTTGCGTTCCGAACGGAATCGCTTTGGGCATCTCTCCAGCAGCTTAAAGCCAGCAAACGAAGGTCGCCTTTCCAACAGGAGCCCATTTGGCCCGAGCTGGACGGGATTTATGGCCCGCGGGATACCTTGGAGCACATGCATTAGCAGAACTGCTCTCTATTTTTCGGCGCTGGCCGCTCGATAAAGCAATTCCCGGTGTTGCTCCAGCGCTATCCTGCTGCCTTTGCCGTGCGCCGACGTGGCCTTGGATGCAGCCGCTTCCGCAGCTAATCGTGAGATTAAATCCCGCTTTCCCCAGCATGCAAAGTGACTCCTGGAAAGGCATTTTTGCAAACGTGAAGGGGTTTTGGCCTGGCTTTTAGGTGCCTAATGCTAGAAAGGGCCGCATTTGTGTGAGCTCCCTGGGCTTGAACGTACGGGAAGGGCGATCGCCCCGCGCCAGCTCTCACTCAACCTCAGATGTGTCCCCTCGTTGCTTAAAAGTAAAGAAAAACCCCCTCAAACAGTATTTTCCCCCCCTAAACCTAGAGGCAGGACGCCTGGGCCCAGTGCTCCTGCTCCACGGCAATATCCTTCACAGAATAAACCTCTTCTTGCAGGGCTTTTTGATAAGACTTTCCATTTTTAGTAGAGGGCAAATGGACCAACCGCGCCGCTCTTTGTTGCTGGTGCAATTGAAGAAGGAGCAGAAGCTAATTTTTTAGCTTTTCCTGTAAATAGTGCATTAATGAAGACAGATGGGGCAGCAATGTAAACAAAGGCTCTATCTCAAGCCAGTTTTGCTCTGGCTTCGCTTCCCAATATAGCAAGCAAAGCCCCAGCCCCGCGGTTCCCATCCTATTAGCAGCGTTCCCTCGCCAAATGTTGAGCTGGGTTATAAGGAAGTTTAAATTAACACTGCGCTGTAGTTCTTCAAATGCTGGAAGCAGCTGTTCAAATGCCAGGAAATCTCTTTTTTTCTTCTTTTTTTTTTCCATAAGGGAGGGATTCAGCTCGGGTTTGGCCCCGGGTTTTGCACGGGAGATGCTCCGCGGAGCCGCCGCGGGTGAGCCGGGCGCTGCCGGAGCTTTGCGGGATTCCCGGCGGGAAGGAGGCGGCTCTGCCGGCTCCTCCGGGCTCCTCAAGCTGCTGGGAAGCTCCGGGGAGAAATCTGCTCCTCCGGCAAGTTTCCATCCCCACGTTGGGTCCTGAGACACGAGTTGTCGGGCACCATGTGCCTGCCCAGGACACAGAGCGGCCAGGGACGAGCCCGACGTCTTGGACTCGCGCTGTTTTGGGACCATAAGAGCAAAACTCCATCCCCAGCCCCCTCGCTGATGTGTTATCCACACTCTTCCTCTCCTTCCTTCGTTCTTTTGGCTCCTACCCTTTGCCTGTTGTGGCTATTTGGCCTGCAAGAACTTCCTGGCGCTTTTCGGCTCATCCAGCCCCAAAGGAGCTTCCCACCTGCTTATGGTGGCTCATCCGTGTTAAATGATGAGCGGAGGAAAGCCAAGCTCCAACCGTGCTGATGTTGGATATCTGCGTTCAGGAACTTCGGGAAACCTGGCTGGGAGAAACCTTCCCAAACCAGATTTTTGCTATTGAAACGCAAGGCAAGAAGCTGCCAGCACGTTGACGTAAAGTCGATGAGAAATGAAAGGAAAATCAATGCACACTAGTCTTTAATGAGAAAAATAAACTCTTTAAGAAACAGAAGAAGCCCAAGTTTTAATATAGACGCGTGGATGGGTGAGCGGGTAGATGGAAGGCGGGAGGAAAGCAAGAAAGAAGTAAAAACACTTCATGCCGGGATGGTTTTTTGGGGACTTGCTGCTGACATTGGTGACGCTGTTGGCTTTGTGGCACTGGCTCCTGTCACCCACCCACTCACCGCAGGATTTGTGAGCGCCACATCCACACGGACAGGATTACCTACGTGTTTAAAACAGCGTGCTGCTGAGTTGGCCAAAACAGCCTTCATTTGCTATTTAATACTCTTCTGATCCCTGACTGTGAACAGTTGCGGTTGTGGGAGTCATAAAACGCCCAAGTTTCTCCCAAAACAGCACACTCGGATCTTGTTTTATGGCTTTCCTCACTAATTCTGCCTGAGATTCTGTGCAGTCACAGCACAGTCCGTGTCTCATCAGCAGACAAGTCACTAATACCCAAAGAGCGTCTTGCTCCGAGTTCTGACTTGCTTCGACAGGAATTTTTACCGATCCTGTACAAATTCACACGTGTGGCTTTACCCCCTGCCCAAGTTGCATCGCAGCACCCGTTTGCAGCGTTTCCTAATAAAGGAGAGCGGCGCCCGAAGCGCGACGGGAACGGGCGCGCGGAAGCGTCGCTGAAAACACCCGGGGGATCATCCGCCCGGCGCGGGATTATCGCTCCGGACAAGGGGAACGGCTTGTCTTGGCAAACGGCTCCGTGGGATGAGTGGGTGGTTGGAGAGGCTCTACGTGGCGACACGGCAGCTCGTGTCAGCAGGGCAGAACCTCACACCTCGGGTGAATTCTTTCGACTTACCATTAATCACAGCCTAAGATTGCAGCGTAGCTACAATAAACTACACAACTGGCCACTTAATGCAGCGATAGCCCTGCGGGAGTGGGTAAATATTGGACAAGACCGTGTGTGTTCCCGTTGGAATTACTGCAAGGAACAGGTTGCAAGCAAAAGAAGAGAACTGTGGTATAGGGTATTTACAAACATCTCACAGGGAAAGCAAGAATCACCAACGCAATCTCTGTGCAGCACAAAACAGAGCGATTCTGTGTGAAATAGGATGGGTGCAAGGTTTTATCCGAGTGGGATTACATACAAGCACAAAAATAAAACATTCTGTATTCTACATTATATTACAAAGGCAGGCAGTCAATAAATAGGTCAATAAATTATGGGAAGCACAGAAGAATGTGTGTGAAAAAAACAGGTGAAATTGGTTTTAGTTAGTGCTTGATCAAGTCTTTTGTGTTCACTCCCATGAAGTGCCGGGGGATTCCTCCAAAGACCCTCAAGCACTTCCAGTGAAGATAACTTGCCCTTAAAAGTGTAGAACAGATGCAGGGACAGCACAGCGGGCTCTGCTACAGGCTAAAAGAGTCAATGTCACTTACACTTCCCCAAGAATCTGACAAATTTGCAGCTTAGTATAAATAAAGTGACGGGTCTATTGTTTCTCAGCTCCGACACCTCCTTATCGCCACCATTTGTTGCAGAAGAGTGGTGGAAACATGGCATGTGATTCCATGGGGCAATACCTTTAAGAACGGACTCCGGGAGCGATCCGTAAGGGAAGGATCCCCTCCGGCATGAAGCGCGTTCCGCTTCTGCCCAGCTCTCCGTGCAATCCCGCTCTGCCGGTTACATGGATGTATCGGATGTAACTCAGCGGAGCAGCCGGGGGAACAAGTTTCTGAACAAGCTCCTGGCAGAGCTTCAAGGATTAGGGAGTTAATGCACTGGTTTAGACCTTCTAAAGCTCCAGGTTTCAAGGCTGGGAAAGATTAAAGGAAGGGGAATGTTTTTAGGACCTTGAATCTGCCCCTTTTGGGCAGGAAGAGCCCCCCTAAACAACCCAGTGATCTGGTCTGTGCCCTGGTACAAAGAGAGACTCAGTCTTAATTTGGACAGGAAAAGAGAGCAAGCAGCAAGCAATGGAACAAAATATACATTCCCTACAGTCGTATGTCTTGCCCATTCCCCGTGACAGGAAACATACAATTATCTGTACATGCCTCATTAAATAACCTCATTAAATAGCAAAATGTACAAATTTACAGACTGAATCATTAAATACTTCCCCCGTGCTCTCCCCCGTGCGCGTGCTCCTACTATCTGCAGCCGCACTCCGATACCACCATGCCCTCGTATTTGAACTTGTAGGTGACAACCCCCGCGTCTAGGTAGAGGATGGAGATGGGGTCGAGCTTGGTGGGCACGCAGCAGGCCTTGGAGGCTTTCTGGGGGTTCTTCAGGTGAACCAAGGTCTGCACGATGGCGTGTTTCGTCGGTGTGACGTGCTCCGTTAAGGGGTAGGCGCACACGCCGTGGCACTCGTAGGCTTCGTATCCCGCGGGGGCGATGATCCAGGAATCCCAGCCAATCTCCTTGAAGTCTATGTAGAGCGGAGTCTTTTTGCAGTAGTTGCCCTTGGCGTTCCTCCGGATGCGGGCGGTGGAGTCGTAGATGATGTTGGAGCGCATCTGGAGCAGCGCCTCCTCGCCGGGCCGGTCGTGGAAGTTGCCGACCTCCAGGTTCTCCAAGTCCAGGAGCTGCTCGTGGTCTATCATCTCGTTCAGCTCCTGCTTCTCCTCCTTCTTGTCGTTGCTTTGGTCATCGGAGAACACGATGAGCAGGGGCACGTGCTTGGCCTCCGAGTTGATGTCGATATCGAGCTTCCCCTCTCCGTTCTGCTCCTCCCCTTCCCTGCTCTCGATATGAACTTCCAGCCGGTGCGTGGTCAGGCCTGCCCTTCGCCAGCGCCTGATGGCCTCGGTCACCTCGAAGGTCTCCCACTCGCTGTTCTTGCCATAGATCTGCCTCGACGCCAGCGCCACCATCTTCCGCTCTTCTCCTACCCCCACGTGGTCGCTTCCCAGCACCTCAAAAATGGTGACTTTCCGGTCGAGTCCATCGTAGAGCATCCGGTCCCGCTCCACCAGGGTGTAGAGCCTCAGCTCCGCCATGGTGATTTCTTCATGGTGAGGGATGGATACGTTGAAGAGAAGGGGGTATTTCCGCGTTCCTACAACACCAATGGGGTGGGAAGCCAAGTCTGGAAATGACAAAGATCAATTATTTTAGGAGGTCAAGATATCCAGCACACCGGACCTGTTTTACATTCCTTTGGTTTTGGCGGGACAATCCAGGAAAACGTTTTTGCACTGGTTCCCAAAACAATACGTGGATGAGCAATAAAAACCCTGTTTTATTCTACATGTCTAAGGACGGTGAACTCCCAGCCCTGACAAAATCAGCAAATTTGGGTTTATAGTTTCTATCACGATGGCTTTCTGGGCCTTCCTTGACACCTGGTAGTGTTGCATGTTAAAAACACCTTGCCAAATACTGCAGTGGAATCAGTTCTAGATTACTGCATGGCAACTGTTTAATAAAGAGGGGAAAATGTTAGTGCAGGCGAGGGCAAGAAGAGCAGCGTGTCACTGGAGTGGGCATGGGAGAAGGGAGGTGACACGAGATCTGTGCGCGCAGAAGCTGAAGGCAGCATCTGGGTTATCATTTCTGGGCTAGCAAGCGCTTCCTTCCGCTCAAACGCTATCAGCAACTGCAAGGCCAGATTCTGAGGGGGGAAAATGTGCTTGCAAACACGAAAAGGCTCCTTGTTAGGAGGAGCAGGCAGCGATCCCCCAATCTGAAAGCTGCCAGTCAACACAAATCCTGCCACGGACCCGCCGGGTTTGTGAACTGAGCCAATCAGCTGCATTCAGCAGGTACTTTTGGCAACTTTAGTTAATAAAACATATAAGAAACCCCTAATATCTGCTCGTTGGTCAGTCTGTCCGTCGCATCTGTGTTGTTTGTTTATACACGGGCATGTCTTAGTGCAGCACAGGCATCGTAGCACTAGTGACCGTGTCTCTGCGGCTGGATTCGCGCGGCTCTGAGGACAGAGCAGGACACACAGACCCCAGGTGATGTCCCTGCAAGGGACGAGCGGCTCGGGATCTGCTGCTGTTTTCGTCGCTGACTCCTCCAATTTGGGGATGTTCGTAGCAAAATGGCACTGATAAAGCTGCAAGTGTTGGCCATACTCCACCAGCGCACTGAGGCAAGCGCAGGAGCTGTTCTGGTGACACGAAGAAGACTTGGAGGCACCGTTTTCCTGTTCCCATTTGCACCCCTGTTTATTCCTAATGAAAAATCCAAACAGCAGCTTTGATGCCTCTCCCTTCCCATGAGCTGATGAAGGTGGGAACTGGCCATGCTCCAGCGTGGGGAGGCTCAAAGGCTGCTCAAGATGAGGGAAGCTTCAGCCAAAACCTCTCAAATAGAAGAAACTTTCACAAATTCCTAACCTGCAGTTTGCTAGAGCAAGGCTGTGTTCACCACCAAAGATGACAAGGTGGAAAACTGCCACCAAAGCATCTAGAAGATGAGTAATAATAATAATAATAATGCACTAGAAGCTAGCTACTCTCAGCTGGGCAGCACAATATATTTCTGTAATCTCATTACAGTAATAACAAAGCTAATAAGGGATTTAATGAAGGGTAACGAAAGAGCAGTCACTGCCAATTTTCAAGAAGCAGCTGAAAAATCTTCATCATATGATCTGTTCCTAGTGTCCTGGAATTGACAGTAATTCACTTTCTCTATAAAATAACCCCTCCTTGTGCATGAAATGAATGGTTCTTCGCTTCATGGGCTTTCAAGACAGGTAGAAACCATTAAGTGCAGCAGTCCCTGTAACTATCTGGGTTTGTGGAGCGGGTGCATTAGCAAGAAGTCTCACCCTGCAGCTGCTGTGTTGGATTAGAAATGGGAAACACACAGAAACAGCAGGAAGTTGCACCAAGTTTACTCGACCTAGTGCAGATCTGCTGCAGCCATGAAAAAAAATACGGAATATCTCCCTCGTGCTTAGGGAAGGGCAAGGGATGGTGAATTGTGGCACGCGGCACTGCACCGTTTTCAATGCTGTAAACCTGGAAGCGTTTCAGTCTGGCCAGTGAAATGGCTTCAGCTTCACCCCAGTAAATCCCATTGCATTTTCTTCCCTAGCATCGTGCACTAGCCAAACTTGATCTGATTCTTTCTCCTGATGAGTGGAAACAGGAGCAAAGAGCAGCGCTTGTTTCTGCATATTTCTTCATTTACAGCCATGATTAGCAAGGCTGTTCAGATGAGGAACAGTTCACCAGCAGGTGTAACTGGATTGCTACAATAAATTCAGTGTCATATTACCACAATGCGGAAAAAGAATATGGAAAGAAGATTTAAACTGCAAAACAGTCCTCAAGTCAGAAATGTATTGAGGGTAGAGAGTGCCCAGGCCTGGCAGAACAGCAGAGACCAGCACTGCTGTCCCATCAAACTGAACCAACCTGCACACAGGGAGAGTTCCCTGAGAGTTTGTCACCTTGAACTTGGGAATCTCAGCAAAAAGTAGTAATTAGTGTTACACGCCATTAATTAGACTGATAAGGGATAGGAGAAGATCCAGATTTGAACAATTCCACGTATCTCTGAGTAGCTAGAAAGAATCAAAGTACTTGTATTGGCAAAGTAGAGTATTTGGAGGTTGGAAATGATTACCTGAAAAACATTTTTAACATATAGCCTGTATTGGCGCAAATAAGTTCTGACACAAAAACATTTGAATGTCAGCACTAAAATTTCATCTTTTCCTTGTTAAACTGAGGGAAAACATTAAAGCAGAACCAGAGAGAGAACCACCTAACCTCAAAATTGGGCTTTTCCCTCAATTTTTTCATTTTTTTCATAGGAAGTATTATACTCCTCTGAAGCAAAACCAGAAGTTCATCCAAATTCAGCTTCATGTGTTTCTGTATATTTTCTGGGCTATGCTCTGACATCAAAGGAATGAGACTTTACGATTCCCACGGGGATCAACAGTGGAAGGATATTAACAGAAAACCATATATCGCACCTTTAAAAGGCACGTGAAAACATTAATCCCCTTAATTTCAAATTTAAAGCCATCTGAAAATCGAACAGCTAATTGCCAAAGATATGTGTGATTTTGGGGATAACAAAAACATACCCAAATTGTACTTGGTACAGCACAGCACAGATGTAAAAGAAGCATCTTCCCCCCAAATCTGACAGTCTCAAAAGTGGGGAAAAAAGGGTCTGAAAGCATCTAGCTCACAAAAAGTGGGATCTGCATAAAGTTGGTGCAGTGTTAGCTGCCTGTTCCCAGTGGCCTCTTCACTGAAAGGCCCTTTTCCCCTCTCCATTCCTGGTAGATATTAATGGCTAATTAATGACTACAATGACGCCCTTTTTGATTTGCTTCTCCTAGGGGAACACACTTCTTACCTTCATTTTTGAAGCTCCTGATGATATTTGCCGATGGCATCGATGTCCTATCGGTGGCGAACTTGTTGTACAGCTCGAGCATGTACTCTGGGGGGTCCACCTTGGCCGCCTCGTGCAGGGGGATGTCGGAGAGGTTCAACGTCTTCAGGAACTCGTTCTTCATGTTCTGAAGCAGCGTGTTGAAATCAACCCCATCCTGCTCGGAGAGGACCTCGTCAAAAAGGGGCACGTCTTCCTCCAAGGAAGAGTGCTCCAAGCTCAGGATGGGACTGCAGGAGGCGAGGTGGACCAGGAGAGCGAGGCCGGCGCACAGCTGGAGGCCTCCAGAACCCATCCCTTCCCCTCCGCTCCGAGCGCGCTCAACAAGCTCTACCCTCGTGTGGGCTAAGCGGCCGTTTTATCCCCTGCTCGTGTCACACCGAGATGACAAGTTTGGAAGCTCTTGTCTTGCGACTTGTGATCCGGCCCGTCTCGCTCTCCCCCTGCCCTCCCTTTTTCTTCCCCCTTCCCCCTCCCCAAAAGCAGGTCTCGGTAATTGGATATGGGTCCCTCTCTCCTATGGTCGCCTCGCCTCCCTTATCTCGTGCCGCGTAAGCTGTTCACCAGATTCGTTGCTATCTCACAATCCCCTTTCCCTTAATGAGCATTTTGTAAACATTCTGCGCTAGGACACGAGGAGATAGGACAAGTTTCTCCTCAAGAGGAATTGCCCTTCCTTTCTGCCTCCTGGTAGCTGCCTTGCTTGGTGTATGACCAACTCGTTGCAGATTTCAAGCTCGCGTGTCAATGCCTCTACCCAAACCTATGAATTCTGCACCAAGGACTATGAAGAGCCCCTTTAAGACCACACAACTGTCCGTTGTAAAAATGTTGTAGAGATAAATGCTTATTTTACTTACAAAGAAACCTCGTTGGCATAAAGTCCATTCTTCTGTGCTTGTAGTGCAAGAGCTCCAGCTCTTTCGGGGCCACGAGGTGCTGAACGCGGACGAGCGGGTGAACCCAAGGTATTTGGATGAGGAGGGTCTCCCATGTCACAGCTCTGAGGTGCTGCTTTGCCAGAGCTTCACTGGAAAAAGAAACGAAAAGACATGCTAAAAACACACAGCAATTTTCTGTTAGAATGTGCGAATTTCATCAAAATGCTCATGCAAAAAAAGAAGTCAAAATTATTCTGTATGCAGTTCTTATGTAACTTCTTATGTGCCTTCTCACAACCACCTTGGTGTTCAGACTTTTCAAACTGCCCTGGTTTTGACAGCAGCTCCTTGGCCCCTGTGGTCCAGCACTCAAGATAAAGCCCAATCTCCTTTCATGAGCACCACTGAGTTTCTCTCTGAGCTTAACCTGAAGAGGAAACCTCCCCATCCTTTCCATATAATTGATTGTTTTTTAGAAATATCAATACATCTCTGTGGAAAAAAAAAGTGCAGTATTAATGCCTCGGAGCCAGGCATCAGCATGGCCTTCTTATCTATCTTATCCGACTCTTCTTCTAAATATGGGAACTTGACAATAAAGGCTAAACCCATTATCAAGGTCTCTGCTATTGCTAAGTTACACTGGAAGTAGATATTTGAGCGTAGAAATATTAATTTAGATCTCAGTGTGGATTTCACAGTTATCTGTGCAAGCTTATCTATAAATCCTCTGCAGCCTTATCAAAGACTCATCCCGTGACGACTGCGGCTCTCCGGAAAAACTTGGGGAAATTCTGGAGCTGAATCCAGGTCACTTGTGTTCATTGCGTTAAAAGGAAAAGCAGCGTCTTCTTTTTCCCCGTGATTCATCACCTTAGTTTGCTGAACTAAGGACCTGGTAGGGAAATGAGGTTAATCTGGAGAATAGCTGGAATGCACAGGCAGCAGCACGTAGATATTCCTTGTAAATGCTGGGATACAGAGTACTTCATGCCTTGCTGCTGAGGATGTGGGGCTTCCCACAGGATTTAGGTAGGGTTTTGATTTTATAAAGAGGTTTTAGAGTGTTTACACTGAGATTTTTAGTTGAATTCCTTCTCTCAGCACGAGCGTGCTGGCTATTTTGAGGACAGCATCTGGCCCTTAATCACACATTGAGTCAAATTCTCCTCTTTGTTACTCCACTGTTAATCACATAAGTGTTTCTAGAGCTGGAGGAGTTTTTCCAGGTTCGCTCCTCTTTAGCAAAGATGAAAACGTAACCTGCTGCACAACTTCAATTTGCTGGGTGACAAAACGGAGCAGAATTACTGTACTCTGGCAGGGACATAAACAGAGGCTGGAATAGCGAGCGACCTCTCTAAACTCTGCTAAATCCAGACATATTTTCTATGATTCCATAATTTCACATCCTGCAGACATAAACACACAAGTAAAAACCGCACGCAGGGATCTGACAGAAATTTCCTAACCCACAAATAAGTCATCTTGCTTCGGAGGCTCATTAGGAACTCAATTACTGCTCAGATATTCCAGCTCTCCCTGCGTTTCCGCTCTTGTTTTGATAACTCCATGAACAATAGCACACGAAAGGGCAACGCTGTTATACACAAACCAGCTCCTGCTGCCTTCGTGGCTTATTCAATTTAGACCCTGCTGGAGATCTGCCAGACGAGCAGCACCCATAGAGCATATCTGATATAAAGGCAGCTTCCTGTTTCCTTAGGTTTTAAGCTGATGAGTTTAGCGGATTTTTTGCCGAATTGAAATGTTTAACAGAAATTTCATGTCACTAAAATGAAGAGGTTTGGCCTTTCCCTGGAAATGAAACTGCCCTCAAGAAATCTACGCTGAACAGATTAACCAAGCGAGCTGGAGAAGAAACATTAATAATCATTACTGTTTAATTGTTATCAAGTTTATACCATAGATGATGAGAGCATTTCATTAGGAATAAATTATGTATCAGGCAGCAGAGCTGTAGAAAGGCTCTTGGCCATCGTTCCTAGGAAGTTTGTGTTTATTTCTTGGGTAAATTTGCAAGGGAAAACGTGGCTGAGGAGAACCCGAGCTTCTGCACTGCCCTGCGACATCCAGCACCTGCAGAAAAGTTGTTTAATTCCTGTTTTGCCCTTTCTTCTGAGGTTCAGGATGACGGGGGTGGCACTGCAGGCTGGACACGCTGCGTTTACGTGTCCTGGTGGGAAGGGGACGAGTGAAAGCTGCTTGGGGAGCAAAAGGAGGGTGTTGGGGAGCAAAAGGAGGGTGTTGGGG